GCAATGGAGCCTTGACGTGCTTTGGTGAGCCCGGATAAGAAGAAGCTGAAATTCGAGGCCGCTGCAGAGCCCGTGGAATTCATGGATGATGTCATAGAACTGAGTGAGAAGAGTACTGGGAGCCAGGAGAAACCGCCGGCCTGTGCTATCCACCAGGGCAGAGTCCTGAACCAACTCGTCGGCCTGGTCAAGGGGCTGCAGGCGAACATCAAGGACGTGAAAGACGAGCTCCAAGAAATGCAAGACAAGATTATGAATGTGAAGCTTCAGTCCGGCATCGCGCAGTCGGTGGCGGAGGAGGCGATGGACAGGATCTCGGACGTCGAGAACACGCTGAGCGAGTTGAGCGATAAGATCTTGACGAAGACCGACGTGCAGAACATCATTGTAGACACACTCGAGGAAATTCCAACACACAACTATCAGGAGCAGCGTGCCGAACCCTAACGACCAAGACAAATTCGCGCGGACGGCCATCATGGGCGGCTTTCCGCCGGATTCCGAGACGTCTGAGGTGACGGGCTACCTACAGAACCACGTCTTGGGAACCACGCAGGGCATTGACGAGTCTTACGCGTACAATTTCTGGAATGTTGGATCTGTACGGTTCCAGTCGGCGAGGTTCATGCATGAATTTACCAAGAACTTCAACAACTGGCCGAAGCCGAACATCAATGGCAAGACTCTTTGGGTCCCTTCCTCCAAGAACCCTGAGGAACGTGCACGAGGACAGAAACTAGAGAAGTACAAAAAAACATTGAGGTTGGTTTAGCTGAGCCCGAGCAAGTTCGCGTCGACTATCGAAGGGGGTTCTCTTAGTGCGCCAGATGAGGGTTGGGAAATGGAAAGGAGAAGGAGACGAAGCGAAGTTGGAGCTTACCCAGGCGAAGCTGACGGAGGCAGGCATCCAGGTGGGAGCAGAAGCATTGGAAGATGTGGCTGATGCACCTCGCGCCCAGGGGAGTCCAACAAGTACCAGGAGGAGCATTTCATCGCCAAAGCGCGAGAGAGGCCAAGACAAGTTCATGGAGGCAGCGCGCTCCACAGGTTTCAGCATGTACGAATACAATGTGCGTTCGCTGATGAGTTCCGACGAGCGTATGGGAAGATGTCTAGCCGGGACTGGAGGGAAAAAATGGGATCGCATAGTCTTCATCGAGACGTGGCGTAAGGAGCGGACAGAAGCGTGGGAAACAATACATGGTCATAATTGGTACGGCAGCGGAGGTACGAAGCGATCGTGTGGAGTTGGTTCTCTTCTTCATCGCCGTTGGGCCCACGAACGGTTTTCGTCCATATCTGACAGAATAGCCTCGCTGGATATCCAGGCCTTTGGTGTCATCGGGGTGGCGGCGATCTATATGCCGCACGCCAAGCAGGACGAGATAAATGTGGAGGTTGTGTACGAAGAGGCAGAGCGCCAGAACCAGGAAGCCAAAAACAAGAAGCACTATTTCATTGCAGCCGGCTACTTCAATGCGGAGCCCGGGAAGAGAAGCGATTAAGACGATCCGCAGCTCGTAGGGGATAACCCGATGCCACACCGCAGAGAGAGGGGAGACGATGGTGAATTGGTGTGTGGTGCACGACCTGGCTGTCACGAACTCATGATTTGCTAGCGCACTTGAGGAAGCATGGACATACGAGACCGACGAGCGAAGCTCCCAACTCGATTGCATGCTGGTAGACGCACGCCTGAGGCCACGGGTCCGGCAATGCACGGTCGACCCTGATGTGGACATTGGCTCTGACCACCGCCCATTGCGTCTTGAGCTAGGTCTCCCTTGCGACCGGCGGCGAAGAGGGAAGAAAACCAAGAGAGCTCGATGGACCCCGGGGCCATCATATGTGGCGGAACTTGAGCTGCTGCTCTGCGAAATTGTTTGGGAGGCATGTTCTGCGGCGGAGAGGGTTCACCAGATAAAACGTTGCATGCGGGCCGCAGCTACGAAGGACAAATGTGCGACCCCTACCCATGGCGAGGTACAGAAGCAATGGTAGGATTTAGATCTTAGAATACGTTCATTGCTAAAGTTGCCACGGAATCTTAAGTCCTCAACCCGTCCGCTAGAGGAAAGGAAAGCTTTTCGTGTGGACTGGGGAAAAACAAGCTACACAGAAGGTGATTCGCGAGAAGATGAAACAAGGACGTTCGCGGCATTCAGCGGATTGGCGCCAACGCGCCGGGAAACACAAGACGACGCACATTGTCGAGATGAAGAACAAGTGTGGAGAAGTCGAACATGAGAAGACGCCACCACTGAATTTTTGTGCAGTTCTACGAGGACCTGTACGCGAGCACCCGGGATGGCCACGGGGGGGGGCTTCTATGCCGCTTGCAGTGGCGACCACATTATGTTGTTCACAGCGGGGGAACTTGACGACGCGATTCAACAGATGAGAGATGGAAGGTATGGAGACGACAATGGCATTTGCGCCGAAATGTTGAAAGTAAACAGGCAGCTTTTGAGGCAGCTCATGTTGGACACGTTTAACGCGATACTCGATCCTCGTGAACATCTTCGGCCGATTGGTTGGAGTCCAAGATCACGGATTTGTGCAAAAAGGGAGACGCTGCTGTGCCTTCTAATTACCGACCGACCGCTATCCTCGCCACACGTTCAAACTATTCAACCAAATGCTATGCGGCAGACTGAGGGAGAAAAAAGATCGTCGGGGCACAATCCGTGGATCAAGCAGCCTACCGGCGGGGCTACAGCACCATCGACCACTTGATGTGCACGACCCTCGTGGCCGAGGCCCGCAACGAGTTCAACGCGGAGTTATGGGTGGGCATGGTAGATTTCGAGAAAGCGTTCGATACCGTAGAGCACGACACCCTCTGGACAGCACTTCGCGAGCATAATATGCCAGAATGTTACATTGACTTGTTGAAGCGTTTATACCAGCGACAAGGGGCAAGAGTTGTGGCGGGAGACAGGAGCCGATTCTTCGACATTACGCGCGGGGTGAAGCAGGGCGACCCCATCAGTTCCTTCTTGTCCATCGTGGTAATGGAAGCTAGATTCAGGACGTTGAAAATGAGATGGAATGGCTTGAACACCAAACGTTCCGGCACCTTCTACGGCATGTCGTGGACGACCCGACAGACCCGCTCACGAATTTGCGGTTTGCTGACAACGTCCTCCTCTTGTACAACAGCAAGCGGAACGTGTCCAGAATGCTCGTAGACCTGGAGACAGAGGCGCTGAAGTACGGCCTCAAGGTGCACATGGGCAAAACAGTTATTCTCACAAATGCGCTAGCCAGACCGACGAGCGTCCAGTGTGCAGGGCTTGATGCTCGCGTGCTACAATCTGCTGAATCCGAAAAACATCTGGGCTGGAGCCTTACATTGGATGCGTACCACGAGAACGAATCGGCAAACCGCATTTCTGCAGGCTGGGCATCGCTCACGCGCTTGGATGAAGTTCTCTGCAATCGGCGACTCCCTCTGCAACACCGGCCGAAGCTGTTCCACGCGTGCGTCACGCCATGCGTCATGTGTGCGGCAGGCACGTGGACGCTCCAGGCCAACCGGGAGAAAAAGCTCCGCTCAGCTCAGCGGACGATGCTGCGACGCGTGGTTGGCGTGAGCAGGAGCGCCGACGAACCATGGGTCGATTTCATTCACAGATCCACCCACACTTGCCTGGAGCTCGCTGCGAAGTTCAGCGCGCAGGAGTGGACATCCATGTTCTGGAAGCAGAAGTGGGAGCTGGCTGGAAGGATCGGTACTTGCACCAACAGGAGATGGAGGGCTCGATTGATGAGCTGGCAGCCGTGGCATCGCGTCGCAGCGGGCCGTTCGCAGGGTGGACGACGGAAGCGCTGGACAGACGTGTAATCACCGGCCGAGACTGCGCAATTTTCTTCCTTGCCGCCGCGACCCCGCGCATCGCTGGAGAGGGCGGGGCCCCCCGCTCTCTCTACGGGCCGTCTTCTTCTTTTGTCATGTTCCTCCTCCGTCTCCTCCACATGTGTGTTCAGGGCTTCGAAGAGCTCAAGTCGTTTGGAGCCTGTCTGCACGCTCTCGTACAGGGGCCTCACGATTGGGGCGCTCCTGACGGAGGAGGAGGAGGAGGAGAAGGAGAAGGACGAGGAGCAGCAGCAGCAGCAAGATAAGAAAACGACGAGGGAGGTGTTGCATGATTTCAGACTCCGGGATAGAAAGAGGGAGAGGAGAAAGAGGAGGGGGAGTAGAGGGAGCACAGAGTAGAAAGAGGAAGAAGCAGAAGGAGAAGGAGGAAGGAGGGAAAGGAAGGGCGAAGAGAGAGGAAGAGGACGAGGAGGAGGAGGAGGCGGAGGAGGAGCGAGCCCTTGAGAGCGATGACGTCAGCTTGCCACTTGAGCGCCGCTCGTTCGCCGCCTCCAGCTCGAGTGGGAGGAGGGAGAAAAAGGAAATGTAATGAAAGGCTCCAAGGTGGTTCTGCAGGGCTCTGTTCGCTTTCAGGGCTTGGGGGCCAGAAGTGCCCAACACCGGCTACGGCCATAATGACCACAGCGGCGCCAACGGCTCGGACGGCGTACGCAGATAAATCGACCCTACGGCCAACGACCCAAACACGATGGCCAAATGGGTTGGATGCCACTAGATACGTCCTCCGTATCCGACCCGCCTCCTTTTCCTCCTCTTCCTCTGCAGACCTCCCGTCATCTCCTTGCCACGTTTACCCAACGCTCCAGCTCTACTAAGCAAAGGTAGCAATCCAGTGTCTCTAGACGTCAATGCCATCACAAGTGAGGCCGCCGACAATAGACAACACCTGAGGTAAAACACGCATGTGCGCATGTGATGAGGCATTGTCGTGTCCTCCATGTCCTCCTAATTGTCCTAAACCATCCTCCTCGACGAGGGGTGCCATTCATGTTGTGAATATTCGTGCGCGACAGTGCTAATCATGCCCGTGTGAGAAGACACACCTGCATGAGTTTATGAATACAGCAGTGCGTAAAAACACATCCCTTCGTCAACACCGCCACCATCGTCGAGTGGGGACGATGTGCGTGTACTCCTTCAGCGCCTCAAGAAAGCGTCACACAGATGACGATAGTTGGCACTGGCAAATCACACGACCATCGTCAGCACATACACAGACACACACTCCAGCAAATGACGTGAGAGGGAGACAGTATCAAGGCACCTGTTCTTGGCACCAGTTAGTGGTCATGCTGTGACTGGCCACAACAGTTAACAAAGCCGATGCTGCTCAAGAATGCGCACGCGACTCGCCGCGCTCAGCCACATGCAACCGCGCGGAAAAACACAGCAACACAGCAGAACATAGCAACCATCAGCAGCACCAACGGCACATATATGTATAGAGAGAGAGAGTGCGAGAAAGGAGCCACCTGATAAGGAACACATGGATCAGCAGTCGCTTGCATCTGGGGGGAAAGGAGAAATCCGCCGACCCTGTCGGCGTGTGCGAGGGGCTTCCTCGTCCGTTCCTCGCCGCCCCCCCTTCTTCCTTCCCCCTTTGGTCTTTTTGGGCCGTACCCTCCTGCCGTCATGCCGTTGTCGATTCGAAGGGAAGCCCCTTCCCTTTGATCCCTTCCCCAGGGGGGGGGGGTCCCGAGGGGTGGGGGAGGGTGGGGGGGTGGGTGGGGGGGCAGATTCGTTTTTCCTCGGGCGGCCTCGAAACCTCGAAAACACTCCAAATGAGGTCCGAATGCCCAAGATGGCCCCCGAGACGGCCCAAGAGTGCCCCGAGTCGCCCAAAGATCGGCCGAAGACGCCCAAGATAGCCCCAAGACCGTCCAAGAAGCCTCCAAGACGTCTCAGGCCCCCTCCAAGAGCAACCCCAAGAAGAGCCCAAGAGGCCACACTCATGACTTTTCCATCGGAAACTTACATTTCTAGCATATACGACGTTCCGGCCTTCACGGCGTCACAGACAGCTTCGTCTTCAGGGTCGGCGGCACCGGCCGTAAGGCCTTCGCAATACAAAAAAGACACAAGCATGATAAAGACCATTTACGAAGAGAGAGAGAGAGGGGGAAAGAAAGAAACAAACTAATACATAAATTCGCCGGCCCAACGGGCCAGAGGCGTGCTAAGATCCCCGGTAACTACTTAACAATATTTCTAGTTCGAGCGCGCGGGGCGGCCCCTGGGGGCCCCCGGACGAAAAATGCCCCGGCTGACCCCCAGCCGGGTCCCGGCGGGGTCCCGGGCGATCCCCAGGGGGGAGGCATTTTTCGCAACCCGCACGAGGATCGTGGCCTCCGAGGGGGGCTGCAATCGACTACCCCCCCTCCCGCCCCAACCAAGGGGCCCCCAAGAGCCCCCCAAGAGGCTCCAGGGGAGCCCAAGACGCCGCCAAGGAGCCCCAAGACGCTCCCAAGAAGCCCAAGACGGCCCCAAGAGGCCCCAAATAGCGCTCCAGGGCCAGCGGGATGAGCGAAGCGATTAAATCAAGAAAGAACGATAGAGAGAGAGAGAGAGAGAAAAAAAAAAAATATAGAGACGAGATGAGACGATCTGCAAGCCGCCCAGTACTCCAAAACCCATTGACATTGGGATTCGAATCCGGGCGTTGCACTGAATCCACTGGAAGGCACAGAAGTCAACTTGGGTGTTGCGTCTGAACGTTGGCGTTTTGATGTCGACACTCCGAAACGCATACCAGGATTACGACGCAGCGAACGTCGCGCGCGATGGAGCAGAGCGCCACTACATCGCGAGAGCGTCGCGTGGAAGCTCACTGGAATGCTCGTTCCCCTTCAGGCGCGGCGCATGTCATTTGATCGCGAAGCCCGTCGGAAGTGGGGCCGCGCGCGGGAGATGGCGAAAGATTCCTCTCGCCTCCGCGCCGCTCAGGTTGTTCCCCGAGGTCGCCTTCTGCTCCAGCGCGGCTCGTGCGTTTGGTCCGCCACCCCGCAGAACGCGAGGGCGCGCGCGAGGGGGAGAACTGATGCGATCACCTCAACGCCGCGTGGATGCTCCCCGACGTCTCGTACTCGCCTCGGCGGGGCGTATGTTTGTTGCCCGCCACCTCAGTCCAAGGCGGGACCGCGCGACGAGCGATCGCTCCGACAGCGACAGCGGAGGCGCGGCACGCTCACGATCGCACCAGCGCGCAGAGACGCCGTGCGCGGCGAACTGCCCGTCCACGCCGCACGCGAACTCGTGAACTAGAGAAGCCGCGACTGGTCGGTGACCCGCCTGCCACAGTGGATCTTGGCGGCGCGCACAAGGGCAAGGGGGTGGAGGGAGGGGGGAGGGCTTCTTAGAAGGAGGCTGCTGCTTAGAAGGCGCCGGCCCTACATCTATAGATCAGGCCCGCGCCTTCTGAGTAGCAGGGGTGCTCCTGAGGAGTCCTCCCCCCTCCCCTCACCCCCCTCTGCGCGTGGCTGAGCATCCCCGCCTGCGACGGGCACCACGTCCAGAGCCGTCCAGAGCCGTCCAGAGCCGTCCAGAGGAGGGGGGGGTGGAGGAGGAGGAGGAGGAGGAGGAGGAGGAGGAGGATTGCGGCGCCTCCACGCCTCGTTGTTTGGGCAGCCCGATTCTTTCGACCTCGGCCTCGCACGTCCGAGCAGCCTCGCCCTCTCGATCTCGCCCTCTCGCCCGCCCGCCCGCGCGCTCCCCCTCGTGCTGCCCCGCGCGCTCCGAAGGGGCGCTTCGCCCCCGCGCCCCCCGCGGCCGCGCTCGAGGCGCCGGCCGGCGCCCCCCCGGGGCCCGCCCGCGGGGCCCGCCCGCGGCCGCCTCGCGGCCGCCTCGTGGGCGGCATCGCGTCGAGGGCATCGGCAGAGCGTCGTCGCCGCCGCCGTCGCCGCCGCCGCCGCCGCCGCCGTCGCCGCCGCCGCCGCCGTCGCCGTCGCCGTCGCCGTCGCCGTCGCCGTCGGTGGTGCAGGATGACGACGAGTTAGACAAGAGGGGGGGAACGATTCAAAAGAAAAAAAGTCAAGTTTCTTCGACTTCTGAATGGTTATTCAACGGGAGGAGGACGATCTAAACATGTGTCTATTACACGTCGGCGTCGAATCTTTGAGTCGAATACTGATTTCACGTCGTCGTCCAATTTTACGTTAACAATCATTCGACGTCGAGTTCAAATTTTACGTCAACTACCAATTCTACGTCGGCTTCAAACTCTTCCGTCAAACACTCGTTCCACGTCGGCTTCACACAGTATGTCTAATGCTCATTTGACGTCGGATTTGACGTCCGCTTCGGCTCCGTCTGGCCCGTCGGCTGTCCGGGCGCGCGCCCGAGGACGGCATGGGGGGAACGATTCGAAAAATAGTTTCCCAGCCCGCGGCCGATTTTTTCTAATCATCCTCGGGGGCGCCGCCGACGCAACACACGACCCCCGGTCATTTATCAATCGTCATCCTACATTAAGCATGGCGCCAGGGGGCCGTCTATTAAACGGGCCGTTCCGCGCGAGGTGGAGAGAAAAGCACGGCGCACACGAGAGCAAGAGCGAGGTGGAGAAGGACGACGGCGGCGAGGACGACGACGGCGGGTCGTCGGGCGGCGCGGCGCGGGGGGACGCTGTGCATCGGGAGCGCCGAGGAGGGGGGCGGGGGCGCGTCCTGGCGCGGGGCATGTGGCGCGGGCGAGCGGGGGGCAGCGGACGTGCCGAGACGAAGAGAGGGAACACAACGACATAAACATAAAAACTCCGAGGTCCGCGCGGATTGCTCGGATCGGCGCTGGACCGCGCCAGGGGCGGCGCCGGAGGCGCCGTCAGGGGGCCCCCGGCGCCGATCCGCGAAACCCGCGCGGACCTCCAAGTGTTTATGTTTACGCCATCGCTTGTTTGACTGCCTACCAGACCACCCCAACCCAACCCGAAGACCCGAATTTCGGGTTGGGGGGGTTAAGGGTTCCACATCTGTTTTTTCGATGTTTCCCGACCCCCCCACCACTGGAAATCGAGGGTAAATCTGAGCCTTCGGGTTGGGTTGGGGTGGTTTGGTGGGTGGTGATTGTTCCCCTGCTCGTGGAGACGCACGACCGAGCCGAGCATGCAGCGCCGACATGCCACAGCGCGCCGCTGCCCACGTGGTGCCGCCAGAGAGTGGCCGCCCAGGCGGGCAGGCACCGACCAGGACGGTCTGGGCGTGCTCGCCGCCCCCCTCGGGGGCCGAGGCGCACACAGCGCAACTGTGCGACTGGGCGATGCCGATGTCGTGAGGAGGAGGAGGAGGAGGAAGGAGGAAGGAGGAGGAGGAGGAAGAAGAAGGAAAGGAGGAGGAGGAGGACGACGAGGAGGAGGACGAGGAGGCAAAGGACGAGCAGGAGGAGGAGGAGGAGGAGGAGGACGAGGAGGTCCTTGGGCGGCGTGGCCCCGGCCATGATATCCTCCCCCCCCCCGTGTTCTGACCCCTCGACTGGACGCCCCCGAGGCTACTCCACGTCCTCGGCCTGCGGCAGGGGGCAGCGGGCCGAAGGAGGCGCAGCGACCGCGCCCTCCGCCAATCCGAAGCAGCAGCACCTGCGGCACTGCTTCGCGCGCGCCCCCACGCGAGCTGCGAGCGCGTGGCTGTTCTGCATTGAGGCGGAGGGGAAGCGACGCCGATAACGGGGGCAAGAGCGAGGCGGACAAGGACGCCGACGACGACGAGGACGACCAGGACGACGACGACGACGACGACGACGACGACGACGACGACGACGAATACCCAAAAACGACGGCATAGGCGACGACGATACATACGACGGCAAGGACGGCAAAGACGACGACGACGACGAACAGGACGAAGACGGCGACGGCGACGGCGACGGCGACGACGACGACGTCGACGACGGGGCGGCCCACCGCTGGGCCGGGGCGCCTGGGGGCGGTGCGCCAGCTTCATCAGCAGCCACCCCGTGGTCACGAAGCTGAGGCGCGTGGCGCCCGACACCTGGCCGGCGGCTCGGGGCCACCGAGGCGTCTGGGCATTGCCGACGGCCGCCGCCGCCGACGACCACGACGACGACAACGACGCCGCCGCCGCCGCCGAAGACGACGTTCGCCGACGGCGACGTGCGCCGACGGCGACCTGATCTGCGTTCGCCTCCAAGCATACGACCCATGGTTTCTTCCATGTCTGTAGCGGTCAAGAAGAGCTGCTTGCTCCACAGACCTAGAGCGAGGGAGTGGACTCCTGGACGCAACGGGGGAAAGAAAGGGAGTGAGAGCGATGGCCCCCTGCCAGCACTGCCACTGTCCTCTTTTGCCACTGTCACCACTGTCAGTTGGCTGAGGGGTGCATGAGAATACTGGGGAAAACACAAGGTGCCGATACCTTCACTCCCCAGACCTCTCCCGGCGTGCGTTCTGACTAGAATTTCGAGGCGAATCCGACGGTGGCGACGAGGGCCTCCGAGGAGGCCCCAAAAGGGGAAAACGAGGAAAGGGTAGAGGTATGAGAACCTCTTCCCCCTCCGAAATGCAGGTGACCGGTGACACTCGAGCCTCTGGCAGAGCCGCTGTCAAAAGCATCCGTGGCCCGCCGCTCGTCTTCGCCACGGCACGGAGGGGTTGCGCGCGGGGCCTGGCCGTCCATGGCGACCCTGTAGCCTGGAGAGACAAGTGTCGGGAAGGCGTAAGACTCGGATACAGGGCACTCGGGCTGGCCTGGCCATCATAAGCATGACGAGACCCAACCTGAAATTTGACGCGAGCTCCCGCTGCAAACGTCCCACGAAAACTGGACCTTCAAAATCCAGGACGCGCTCGTCAAAAAACGTCGGGGATCTTCTGACCCGGGTCAATCCAGACCCGGGTCAATCAGGCCTGCCAACTCCTGCAAAATCCTGCACCCAAACCCGGGTCAATGCGACGGATCCTGCAGGATCCTGCAGAATCCTGCACCCAAACCCGGGTCAATGCGACCCTGGCGCTGCAGGATCCTGCAAGGTCGGGGCGCTCTGGCTGACCCCCGTCTGCACTGACCCCCGTCCCGAGGCTCCCGAAAACGTCGGCGGACCCGAGTTCCGGCTTTCTCGAGTCTTCTCACGTTTCCCCGAAACTGGGCAGCACGACCGACGCAGGAACGGCTGCCGCAGATGTGTGAACATCTGCCACGCGAGGCCCAGGCCGGGCTGACGACGATGTTGAGTAATTAACGGTGATGTTGGGAACCCAAGTGAAAGAAATCATGATACGAAGGATTGCAAAAAAACCCAGGATTGCAATAAAAAAACCCTTGAACGAAGGGTTGTTTTGCAATCCTTCGACGAAGGGTTTTTTTGCAATCCTTCGTGCAATCCTTCGTCCAGGTTTTTTTGCAATCCTTCGAGAGAGGCCCCAATCAGATGGGGGGTCTGTAGGGCGATAGGGCTATGGGGCTATAGGGCTATGGGGCTATGGGGCTATGGGGCTGTATGGCTAGAGGGCTATTGGGCTGTAGGGCTATAGGGCTATAGGGCTATAGGGCTGTAAGGCTATAGGGCTAGTGGGCTATAGGGCTATAGGGCACCCGGGCACCCGGGCACCCGGGCGGGCCGCCAAAATCGGCGACGCAGCTAACCTAATCAAGTGAATCCGCTAGGACCCATACAGAGGCAAGCTCTGATTGGGGAACAAACCACATGCTCCTACACTTCCAACATGCGAATGCATCGAGCGAGAACATTTCCAATCTGCGAATGAACCGAGCGAGCACGACACAGCGAATTGCAGGAAAGCGCGAGCCAAACGTTCCCACAATACCGAAACCTATATCGGCATTGCCTACATCGACGTCAGCCCGTCTACGGCATCTGCCACGCGAGGCCACTAGTTGGATGAAGACTCGGTCACAGTCGAGAGAAGAAACCATCAAAAGTGTTGCATGACAGCATCGCAGAAGGGGCGGCAACGCCATGAAGATCAAGAAGCATGGTACGCAAGCAGAAACCGACCAAGGGACGGATGCGGCATCTGAGCGCCGAGGGGAAGACTAGCAGATCTTCGATACCTGGGCAGAAGGGCACAGAGCAAGCGCGTGACAAAACAAACAATACCTCTGATAGAGGATCACACGCATCACAGCCACGTGCCCCGCTCGACAAAACCCGACTGACAAAAAAAGGCGCATGCGTGAGGGAATCGTTTGAATGATCTGAACTTCGGCCGACTTCCGCCAAGATTCTGCCAGCTTCCGCCGCCGGTGACGACGACGACGACGACGACGGCGACGACGACGACGACGACGCCGACGGCGACGACGACGGCGACGACGACGACCGCGACGGCGACGACGACGACGGCGACGACGACGACGACGACGACGACGACGACGACGGCGACGGCCTCTGCGGCGCTGCCCGCGCCGCCCATCGAAGGCCGCCGCCGAAGCCCATCGAAGAGGCCGCCGCGGCCCTCGCGAGGCCCACCGAAGGCCACCGAAAACGGAAGGCTGCCGAGGGCGCAAGAGGACGAGGAGGAGGAGGAGGAGGACGAGGAGGGGGAGGAGGAGGAGGAGGAGGAGGAGGAGGAGGACGAGGACGAGGAGGGGGAGGAGGACGAGGAGGAGGAGGACGAGAAGGAGAGAGAGGAGGGAGGACGAGGACGAGGGGGGGAGGACGAGGAGGAGGACGAGGACGAGGAGGAGGACGAGGAGGAGGAGGAGGACGAGGAGGAGGAGGACGGGACGAGGAGGAGGAGGGAGGAGGAGGAGGAGGGGAGGACGAGGAGGGAGGGAGGAGGAGGAGGAGGGAGGAGGACGAGGAGGAGGAGGGAGGAGGAGGAGAGGAGGACGAGGAGGAGGAGGACGAAGGGGAGGAGGAGGAGGAGGAGGAGGCCCGGCGGCGGCGGCGCTCGGCGCAGCCGGCGCACGGCTGCAGCCGCGGCGGCCTACGGTCTGCCCCACCGGCTCGCCGCGGGTGGACGCCACCCGCTGCGCCTCGCCGCGCCCCGCCCCGACGCCGCGGGTCGCCGGCAGCCTGCGCCGGCGATCCTCCGAGCTCCGGGCTTCGAGGATCCGGGGATCGAGGGTCGAGTGATCGCAGGATCGAGCTTCGGGGTTCGAGGAGGAGGAGGAGGAGGGGGAGGAGGGGGGGAGGGGGAGGAGGGGGAGGAGGAGGGGGAGGAGGAGGAGGAGGACGAGGAGGAGACGGAGGAGGAGGAGGAGGAGGAGGAGGAGGAGGGGGAGGAGGAGGAGGAGGAGGAGGAGGAGGAGGACGAGGAGGGGGAGGACGAGGACGAGGAGGAGGACGAGGTCGAGTGATCGCAGGATCGAGGTTCGGGCTCCGAGCTTCGGGGTTCGAGGGCCGAGCAGCGCGAGGGCCGAGGGAGGAGATCGGGGGGTCGATCGTGCCTCGGCCGCGGGCTCCACGTGGAGCCAGCGTGCGCCTGTCCACACCGAGGCCCCGCAGTGCGGCGCAGACACCATTCCCAGATCTCCGACAACCGACGCTTCTTCCTCGATGTCGGCCCTCGGGGGCCCTTCCTTGTCGGGCTCCAGGACCATCAAGACAGCATCCTGGACGAACAGCTAGTCTCAGGGGAGCGGTCACGACCTCTTGGGGCCGCGGATGGAAATAATCAGGTCGGCGGATGTCAGGGTGGCATGTAGGGGAAGGAAAATGACATAGACACGAAAATTCGGAGGTCCGCGCGGATTGCTCGGATCAGCGCTGGACCCCCCTCCCTGGCGCGCGGAGCACGCCAGTGGCGGCGCCTGAGGCGCCGCCAGGGAGCCCCAGCGCCGATCCGAGAAATCCGCGCGGACCTCCGCGTTATTATGTTTATGTCATTGTTCGTTCCCCTAGTACGGCATGAAGCAACTGGGTCCTGAGGGAAGCGGGGACCCAGGGACTCTTCCCAGAACCAGCTTTACCGTCCAGGGTCGTTTCCTGGCGGTCCTGCGGCTCGAGGAGGGCCCCGGGAGGCCGCAAGCAGTGACAAAAACCCTTGCAAGACTGCCTAGAAGGATGTCATGACGCGGTTGGCTCAGGATCCGCCACCGTGCCCCCTGGCACGCTGGGGCGTGCTAGAATGCCAAGTGAACGACGATCAAAAAAGTTGGGCGCCCGAGTTATCCGGGGTAACTCGGGTCCGGGGTAACTCGGGTTTGGATTCCCGAAAAAGGAACCCGAGTTAGCCCTGACCCGAGTTACCCCTGATGATTCGGGGCTCTGGACGCCCGAGTTATCCGGGGTAACTCGGGTCCGGGGTAACTCGGGTTTGGATTCCCGAAAAACGAACCCGAGTTATCCCTGACCCGAGTTACCCCTGATGATTCGGGGCTCTGAAAAAAGGGTCGTACGCGAGATGGAGAAGCTACCTTGCGCGGCGGCTGACGCAGGCCGCCGGCGCGGCACGCTGCCTTGAAGACGAGGGGCGCCCACGCGCGACCTGACGCGGGGAGCTTACGCGCCAACGTCGACGCAGACGACCCCGTTTTTTCTTGCGGACGACGAGGAGGAGGAGGAGGAGGAGGAGGAGGAGGGGGAGGAGGAGGAGGAGGGGGAGGAGCGTCGCCCAAGTGCTGTCTGGCAGGGTTTCTGCGATCTTCTAGGGCCTACCCCCACCTCCGTCGCCGCCGAGTGGCGCCGAAAATGCACCGCCCCCCCCCCCCTCCCGATGGCACGACCCCTTGCAAAAATGCGACCGCCTCGCACTCCCGAGGCCACAGTCCTTTCTGTAGAATTTGGCACCTTCGCGCCCCGAGGTCACCACGCACAGCTCATATCAAATACGGCAGCTTCACACTCCCGAGGCGACAGTGCACAGCAGAGATCCAAGACGGCCCAAGAGGGCCTCGAGTGGGACCCATGATTGAAGGGGCCCCAGGACACACAAATAAATACACACAAATAAAAAGATTCCCCATATTTTCCCATATTATCTGGGTTTCTGTCTTCCCCCCCACTTCCCAGATTTTCCCATATTTTCTGGGAATCGCCGATTAATTGTGTCTGTGTGTTGTTCCCCCTCCTGAATGATGTCCTTCGACGGCCGTTCGACGGCGCTCCGGACGGCCCCACGACGGCGCTCAGACCCTCACCCCACTGTCGCGAGGGCCCCAGACGGCCCACGAGAGCCGCGAGACGGCATCGGAGGGCCCCCAGACAGCCCAACAGGAGCCCAAGGGGCCCCAAAGACTGCTTCGCAGGAGGCCGAGGCAGCCCCAAGAGGGCCCAAACAAGCTCCATGCGAGCTCCTCAAACAGAGAAGAGAGGACAAAAGGTGTCACGTCACATGTGACTGTCTTCCTCTTCCTCCTCCTCCTCCTCCTCCTCCTCCTTGTTATCCTCCTCCTCCTCCTCCTCCTCCCCCTTCTCCTCCTCCTCCTCCTCCTCCTCCTTCTCCTCCTCTTTCTCTTCCTCCTCCTCCTCCTCCTCCTCCTCATCATCATCATCTTCTTCTCGCCATCAGCAGCATAATCGCCGTCATCATCACCATCGTCATCGTCAGCATCGTCATCATTCCTATCATCAGCCACATCATCAGCAGTTGCAGTTTCAGCATCATCCTCATCATCATCATTATCATCCTCCTCATCAACATCGTCATCATCATCACCATCATCAACAACAATCAGCATCACCATCATCAGTATCACCATACTGATCATTATCATCGGCAGCAGCAGCAACATCAGAATCACAACCACCAGCATCATCACCACCGTAATCATCCTCCCTCTCACCACCTCGTCATCACCATCACCATCAGCATCAGCAGCAGCATCACCGACATCATCATCAACATCAACCTCATCACCACCATCATCAATAGCAGCATCAGCACCATCATCACAATCAGCATCATCATAATCGTCGTCAGCATGACCATCATCATCATCCGCATCATCAGCATCCGCATCATCATTGCCATCATCATCCTCATCATCATCACCATCACCATCAGCACCATCACCCTCTCCAGCGCCATCAGCACAATCATCATCAACATCATCATCTCCATCATCATCATCATCATCATCATCATCATCATCATCAACAACGACAACCTCATCTTCAGAATCCGCATTCCAATCATCATGAGTATGACCATCATCATCAGCATTCTGACGATCACGATCAACAACAACCTCACCACAACCAACACCATCAACCTCATAGTCACCCTCATCCTCACCACGGCTCCCCCACCCTCGAACAGTCGCCGCCCAGAAGGATGGGCTGGCACTGCGGCGGGACTTGCTGCAGGCAGCAGCGGATGCGGCCCAGGAGCTCCGGCGCACCTAGCGGCCCGCGCGGAACGAGGAATGAGACCTTGAGAACCCTGGGCATCTTGGAACGAGCCCCTCCCCCACGGAGGGCCCCCGCTCCTCCATCAGGCTGCCCCTTCCCTCACAGAGGGGCACAATTGCTGCCCCTTCCCTCACAGAGGGGCAAGCAAGTCGCCTCTTCCCGGCTTGTGGATCATCATGACCTCGTCCTCCTCCTCCTCCTCCTCCTCCTCCTCCTCCTCCTAATCCACCGCCTCCTCCTCCACCGCCTCCTCCTCCACCGCCTCCACCGCCTCCATTGCCTCCATTGCCTCCTCCTCCTCCTCCTCCTCCTCCTCCTCCTCCTCCTCCTGCTCCACGGATCCGGGCCCGCCCCCCTCGAGGCCCGCTCGCTCTCCGCGGCGAGGGCCGTGCAGGCCAGCACGAGCTGCGCGCCGCCGGGCGCTGCCGAGCGCGCCAGGCCCGCGCCGGGCCGACGCAGGCCCGGAGGGCCGTCGGCTGCGCGCTGCTCCCCTCGCGCTCGCCGCCTCGCGGCCTCGCCGCCTCGCCGCCTCCTGCCCTCCGACCTCTCGGGCACCGCCCGCGCGGGGAATGCTCCGGGCGGTCTTGTCAGAGGCATCCCAGAGGGGGGCCAGAACAGGTGGGGTCGGAGGATCGCGCCGCATCGCCGATGCATCACCGACGCATCGGCGATGCACCTGCGACGTCGCCAATGCATCGGCGACGTCGGCGTGGAGACGTTCGGGCTCGTACGTCGACTGCAGCGCCGGTGCATCGGCGATGCAGCGCGGTCCTCCGACCGCATCTGCCCGGAGCCCAGTGGGAAGGCCTGGAGGAATTCCTTTGGCTGCGGTCGGGAACTTCTTTTTCGCGTCGCGGCAGCGGCCCTGGAACACGCTTTTTGCCCTGCGAGCGGACAGCGGGGCGCTCCGCTCCACCAGGCGGGAGGCTCGGAGAAGCTCGAGACGTTGACGCTTGGGGGCCGGGGAGTGGGCAGCGTATCGCTCCGAAGCGCGGTGGGGCCAGAACTTGCGGAGCGTCACGCTACCCAGAAGTTCCCGACCGTCTGCTTTCGCCCAGGCTGGGCCAGCCTGCAGTTGGCGAGCCAGCACACAAAACCCTGGCTTGAGCAGAAACAGGTGGCAAGAGGCGAGCCCAGGGTCTCCTGTCGGCGCCCGCATGTGGCCCCCGCAAGCGCCTCCCCCCTCCCCGCCCTCTCGGCGGCGGCCAAGAGAGGGGCGTCCAAGAGGCGGGGGGGCGCAAATCATGGCCGGCAGCATGAGCCCGGCCCAGGGGGCGCCGGGGACGTATGGACATGAGACGAGGCGCCAGGCAATCTGGGGAAACATCATGGCCCCCGCCATGATACCCACCCACCCCTGGTCATCACCCCACTCTTGGCCGCTCCCTCCCCTCCTTAGGGGGTCACTCGCTCTGTGAGCCCCCCCCGGGGCGCGGCCTGCCGTTCGCGACCGGAGCTCTCTGGCCGGCGCCCCGCGCCGGTGCCCTGCGGCTGGCGCACTGTGCCCAAAAACCCGACGTCGTGATACCGTGATGCGGTGCGTCCTTCCACACATACCGGCGTCGCGCGCGTCGATCGCTGAGGATGCGATCGCGTGCCTCGTGCTTTTGTCGATGGAATCTGTCATCGTCTTCGCCAGCCACTTAATGATCCCTTCTGCTTTGCAACTCGGCTGTTTGAT